GTTAAGAACTGAAAGAAGAGAGACTTATAGGGTCTTTTAAACTTGGACCTTAGTTCATCCAACTTTGTAATGGGCCGATAATTATGTTTTCATTCACATTTTCTTTTTTTTTTTTTGACAGAAGAGTAAATGACTGAAAATCAGGGCCTATCAGACTGGGGGTCAAGAATGCCTGTAAAGAGGCAGAATAGTTGGCATTGACTCACTCTAACTTCAAAGGGGTGGGAGACTCACAGTCCATAGCAGACATCAGACATGCCTCCACCCTCCAGCTTTTTTTTTTTAAACCAGTTCTGACAACCAACCATCCTTTGAATGACCATCTCGACCTCTCTGCTGAGTGAGATCATTCACTGCGGTGAAAGCACAGAATTCACTAACAACCTCCCTCTTATAGGCTTGCTAAGGGAGTCATTGGCTACAGTGCAGGATCAGAGGTGCTTAGGACACTGTTGTTCCATGACAGTAGCTTCTCCTCTTGCCCTAGGAGAAGCCATCTCTCTCTGCCCTGGGCCTCTTGGCCCCACAACCCCTTGGCTTTTACCCTTTGTGGCAAGTGTTGCAAAGCTCTTTTAGCTTTGCTGATCCATGTCCGAAGGCACCCAGCTCTGCCATGAAGTCTTTGCCCAAAGGTACTTGCTCCGCTTAGCTCTCGTTCTGTGGGTCAGCAAACTTAGCCCTGCCCATTGAATTGCTCAGAGACAAGCAGTTCCACCTTCTGCCTGTAGGTGCTCAGCGTTCTCACTTTGTGGGCTGGGAAGCCCACTGTTTCCAGGAGGCCTGCTGGTTCTACTAAGCCTGCTGCTTCTCTGTTGCTTTTTCTTCTCCTTTCTGGGGTGACAGCCCTCTGGCTCCTGCATCAAGGAGGTTTGGTGCAGGGGTCTCAGGTCTAAATGATGTGCTAGGCTCCTGACTCTTCTTTTTTGATGGTAGTAAGATTCATCCTTTCTGCCCCCCATGGCTCATTTTAAACCTAGCAGCATGACAACCCATCCATTTCCTCACCAGTGTTCCATACATCTTATTTGCATGACTCCACCCCCATATGGGTGCCGTCTTATTTACATTCTTAGCAAGCTGTCCAATGCCCTTGGTGGGCCACAAGCACTGCACATTTTCATAGTGCCACCCACTCTTTCAGTGGGAATTACAATCACCTTTAAATTCAAACCTTATGTGCATACAGTGGGTACCTCGTGATATGCTAGCTCTTGGACTAGACCTACTGCCCCTTCCCCTTATCAGTGAAAATGTCATTTTAAAAAGCTGTCAAGAAAGATCATTTTGATATCTCTTGAATTGGCAAAATTCAGCGAAGCACTTTTGGTCTTAGATATGTTGCAATTTTAGACAATATGCCCTAATGTGTTCAGAACATTTGGATAAGTCCCAAAGGAATGAAAGAGAAGTAAATGATGTAAAGAGTGTTAGGCTATATTTTCATGTGTGAGAAAAGAAAGGTTTTGAAATAGTAATCTTGAAACAGTCATGCTCTTATTATTGCTCCGTTCTATTGGGTCAATTCCAACGTAAAGTACCTCGACACACATCCAAATGAAACACAGCCCGGTCCTGTGTCTCCCTCGCAGCCAGCAGTTGCAGCCACAGTGTCCGTCTTTGTCCTTGAAGGCCTTTCTCTTCTGACCTTCTATTTCCCTAGCGTGATGTCCTTCTCCTGATACTGGCCCTTCCAAGTGACGTGTCCAAGGCATGTGAAACAAAATCTTGCCATCTTTAGTTAGGAGAACTTGACAATACTTCCAAGATAGATTTGTACATTCTTCTGATAGTCCAGGGTATTGTTAAGATTCTTCTCCAGAATCATAAGTCAAAGTCTCCTGCTCTCTCATGCACAGAAGGCTGTTGAAAACAACTGTGGGTTGAGTCAGATGCACCGTAGCTCTCCAGGTGTCATTGCTACTCGCATTCTGTAAAACTTCAGAATATATTTCTGAACTCAGTGCTCACTTAAAATTCAACTATTTTATAGTAAAAAGGGTCTTTGAGATCTAAGCCTGAAATCCAGTACGGCCGGGACTGAAAGGTGCTTTCTTCGACTATCCATGTTGGCAATACCCTTTAGAGCACAGTCTCTTCTTCAGATACGACCACTATTCGATGGCCTCCTCGCTGAGATAAACATTATGTCAGCATGCATAGCGTAAGCCCAGGGCTTAAAACAGCAAAAGGAGGTCAGAACTAAACGTACCTTGGATCCATGCGGACCAGTGAACTTGAGGGACTAGTAAAAGTTGAGGTCAGCAAGAGTCCCAGGCTGCAGGACGGGTCAAGGAAGGAAGTGCCCCCGCTGGCTAGGCTCCTTTCCTACTGGCCACGACTTGCATAGCTGAAGAGGCTGGTGACACGTCTGTGTTTTCTGTACTTCTTTGTCTGGGTATGTTTGGCTTGTGGCCGATGCCTACTTTTATTTCATTCGTCAGAACAGAAAATTCCACTTTGGTGCTGCTTGACATGACAGGAAGTGCCATTGGTAGCACAGCGCCTCACACACAGTAGGACTGGCTGACTGACTGAAAATCAGACTATTGTCTCATTCCACTAGGGTATCTGGAACATTCCATTCCTTGGAGTGAGTCCGTCTGGCAGAACTCAATGGGTTGTGTGAAATTAGGGCTGTTAAATGATACTAATGTAATAGTTTTGGAGTTCTAGACAAGAGCAGGTTAAACACGAGCCCACTTTTAAATCATCTAGGCGCTCAGGAAAGTTGACTGTACTGGAAAGAACCCTGGACAGGTAGAAATATAAAAAAATAACTAGGGTTCTTTTCACAAGGTAACATACCGATTGTTTATTCTGTATGCCTCTACACAGGAGATATCAGAGTCCCCAAGGCAGACAAGATATAGTTGAAAAGAGCCGCTCACAGAATGTAGTTTCTCTTCCCCGGCTCTCCTTTTCCTTTGCTTCCTGAATTTGAAAATTACTGGATTATTTGGCCTCCAAAGGTCTCATTGTAAAAGTCCACGACTTTGCCACTACCCAGTGATCTATGCTGTCGCCGAGGATGTTTGTAATTCTATAATTTCTTCTTTACTGGGACTTATTGTATGTGGATATATTATTGTCCCAGATTATAGGCCCTCATTCCAAAGCATCAGAGGCATACAATATAGATGATTTATTAAATAAGGAGCAATTTCTTATTCTTCACCTTCTAAAATTCAACATCTTGGCTCAGGGAACTTTAGAGATATGAACTTTCTTGATCTTAGAAATAGAATTTCTGCTATTGAAATCCTGACCGACTCCTATGCTTAGAAATAGGAACTCTGGCATATAGTAAGCAGTCAAGAAACAGTTGTTGCAGCAAACTGCCTGCATGATTTTAATAATATACATTATAGGAAAACATTGATGAAAAGGAATTTCAAATAGGAGCTAAGTTTTACTTTGACTTTTTGGAACTGAGATTTTTCTAATTATATTGAAATTCACCTTGAGGAAGAAAACATCGAATGATTTTGGGTTTCACAGTGGGGTAGAAATAATCTTTCTAAAGAGAAATTCTCATTCTCTTTCTAATAAACTGTTTGTGATTACCCAACACTGTTGTTTAAATGGAAAAGGAGTTTTTATTCATCAGTCTGTGGTAGTAAGTCATACTGAGGCTAAAATTAGTAAATTCCTAGTTAAGCATCTTCGTATTTAAGCCCTTAGTATCCTTCTCACGTGCTGTTCACAAAGTTGTCACTCAAACATGTTAATCATAGTTTTTACAATTTTCCTATTATAAAAATAGTAGAAGTGGCGCAGCGCATTGTATTGAGAAGGAAAAAATACGAAAGTTAACCATCATTCCACCTAAGGGGAGCATTGCTAACAATATTGGCATATGGCTGAAGACGGTTTAATAGTCACTTCTGATAATTAAAAGATTCTGGAATCTGGTGAACACTTGCTTGCTTAAGATAAACAACCTTAATAATTTTCAGTCATCTCTGTTTAGCCCCTGAAAGTGTTTTCTCCTCATCATTTATGACCTCCATCCTCACTCTGGCTTCCAAAGATGCATGGGCTCTGTTACTGAAAATACTGTGAATTCATAATCAATTTTTAGAAAAAAAGAGATGTCATCACTTAGCCATCCTTGTGAATGACTCTTTTCTGCCAACGAGTTTAGGTACTTTTTTCCCAGTGGACTTTGTAGAGAATCTCCTACCCCACTTCTGCGGAGCATTTTAAACAAAGGGCAGATCTTGGATTGCTCTAGTTGCTTTGTTGTTTTTCAAAGTGCCCAAGTATCTTGTTGATTGCTTCTACCCAAATACTTTGTTTCCCTGTCATTTTTGTTGAGAATTTGTAGGGGAAGGACACTCAAAAGAATTTTTTTTCTCTCATTTTTATTTTTATTTATTTAAACATTTTATTAGGGGCTCATACAACTGTTATCGCAATCCATACATACATCAATTGTGTAAAGCGCATTTGTACATCATTCTCAAAACATTTTCTCTCCAGTTAAACCCCCGACATTAGGTCCTCATTTTTCCCCTCAAGATTTTTTTTAATAGAGTGTGACTTACCTGTTTCTAAAATTTAAAATGCTGAATGCTCTGTCTGCACCATTGCTTAATGATTAATAATTCAATAATGACTTAGAATGCTGCCATGTTTTATTAGTGACTAGTTCAGTATCCTGAAGACATACCAACATCAAGTCCATCATATCTATTTTAAAAGAACCCAGGTATCACCAAAATAACTCTATTAATATAACTTGCTTGGATGATGTCTCCTATTGAGTCCTGGGAATGCAGGGAGTTGCCTCAAATCCAGGCTGGGAGGGTAGAAGGCTGGCTTGGAGGAGCCTATGGAAAGAGTTGGCATCTCACCTTAGCTGTCCAGCGCCCATGTGGTTTCCATGGCAGCGTTGCTAGTGGTATTTGATCCCAGTAGCCAGGTGTGGCTAGTGAGAAAGGGCCCAGAGAGCCAAGGCGCTCAGTGCAAAACCTGGCCAGCAGCCCAAGTGAGTAGGAGCCATGTGACTCTGGTGAGTTGGAGTGTGCAATTGCCTCCTGCTTCCGAGCTACCTGATCCGAATACTAAGCAGAGCGAGTGCCGGGCTGGGTGGGAGACACCGAAGACACTGCAGAGAAAAGGTGCTTATTCCAGAGGCAGTGCAAAACATGGAGATTAAAGATCAGGGAGCCCAAATGGAGCCGCTGCTGCCCACGGTAAGAGACAACCTGCTGTCACCTCTCTAAACGGGGGCGGGCGATTGTTGCAAAACCTGTCAGGCAAGCAGGCTGCTGGCTAGGTGCAGGGAGTGCACTTTTGGGGTGGTAGATAGGTCCCGCGACATATGGACAGGGGTCTCCTCCCATGGCGGGTGACTGAGATGCATAAAGCCAAGCACATGATTTTCTCCCCCCCCTTCTCAATATGGATGCACCACGGTGATGAAATGTCTCATGTTTGCTGCTCTTGGAAGAAATGGCTAGGTTTTAGCAGCAGGGGCAGCTGTGCATCTCTGTCTCTGTCTCTCTCTCTCCCCGTGCCCATTGCTGCCAATCTGTTTCTTAGGCTGTGCAGCAGTGGCCCAAGCCCCTGCAAAGAAGCCCCCCTTTATCATACCCCATCCTTAATAAATTCCCTCCTTTGCTTCATCCTAAGGACGGCGAGGTGAGGGATTCTGCTGCGCATAGATTTCGGCTCAGCAGAAACAGAGGGGGGTGGGGGGGGCGAACAGAAGGATTGAGTGTGTGTGTGTGTTCAATTTCATTCTCAAGTGGAACTATGTCCTGGTTCACATACAAAGAAGCTATGCGTTTTGGGGGGTGGGATTATCATGCAGATCATTTCGGTCTGACTCTGAATGATTCCTGACTTGTACGCCTTTAGAGACCGTTTTATTCCTGGGTCCTTGAGCTGCCTCTCCAGATTTCATTATCGGGGCAGCAGTGGTTTGCTAATCTTCTCCATCCTCTTTCAGGGGGATTTGCTAGGCAGCATCTTCCGTCTCCGGCGGCAGCTGATGTTGCTGTGTTCAGGGGGAAAATAAAACAATCCAGATTTTCTTGACGCGACAGAGATGTCAAACGCTAGCTCCCTGCCATCCATCAAACGCTGTCATAGCTCAGAACAGCAAAAATCTGTGCCCAAATCAGACGGAGGCTGCTGTGGGCACTTCTCTGTAACTCAGGTTGGTGACCCCTCTTGCAGAATAGAGACTCGCGGCATGCCTTCCGTTTCCGATTCCCTTTCTAGGCTTCAGGGCACCTTTCCACCACACGGCACCTCAGGAGGCGTGGGCAAATTCTAGGCCATTGCATTTTCTGAGCCCGACTTTGGGTTCCAAAGCTGCAGAAACTCAGTTCGCAGCCCGAAATCTGCCGTGGCTACTGAGCATGCCCAGTTCTCCTTTGGCCGCCAGGTTGGGGCAGGGAGGGAGTCAGAGATGGGAAGAATGCAGGAGGGACCCTGGAGAATAGAGCCCCAGGAAAGGGCAGGAAACGAAGAAGCTGGAAAATCTGCCTGCCCCTTAAGAGTCAGGACGTGTGTGTGTGTCTGTAATCAAAGAGGAGTTATTGTACATAAATGAGGGTATTAGGTCTTCACATTCCCAAACTTTAACAGATTCATGCATTGGTACTTTCTGATTGCTTTGTGATATGAAGGATGTCAGGGAACCATTGTTCCTATACACAGAAACTGGCAGATGGGAATTTAGGGAGTTTAAGGTTTGGGGCAAAAAATACCGCCTCCCTCCCCCCCAGGGAGTAGAGTTGGAACCTCCGGAAAGGCGCAGGCTGAAGTTAGTTCAGGTAGCATATGAATGGCCCCCTGTGGGGAGCAGTCAGGGTTTAGTACCAAATGAGGACTAACTAGAGGAATTTAGAAGGCATTACAGGAAAGTAAGTTTGAATAGAAAAGAAGGTCTCCCTTCAAGTCCAATGGGACATTTCAAAGGTCAAGAGTCAGAAGTCTGCATTTCAGATAGAGGATGGTCAGGGCAAACAAGTTATAACAGTCAGTGGCCAGGGACGGTCATGTGGGCAGCTCCCTCTAAGTCAAACAAGTCTCAGAGCCCCCAGATGAGGTGGAATTACTGCCCACTTTGATACCTGTGTAGGGTACATATTCCACGTCCCCGATGGCTTCAGATTTTTAGATCTTCATTTTAAGGATGTGAAATTGAGGCATTGGTGTTTCTCGGTGCCACCAAATCAATTCGAATTCTCATTCTGAACAACAGAATGAAGCAGGGCGCCATCTCGGGCCATTCTCACAATTGTTGCTAAGTCTGAGGCCACTATTAACACAGCCACTGGGTTAATCCATCGAATTGAGTGCCTGCTTTTTAGCGCACTCTTTATTTTACCAACCATGATGTCCTTTCCCAGGGACTGGCTGTTCTTGAAAACATGTCCAAAGTACATGACACAAAGTCTCTATCCTTGCTTCTAGTGCTCTTCCTGGCTGTCCTTGCGAGACAGATTTGTTGGACCTTCTGGCAGTTCAGGATCTATTCAATATTCTTTATCAACACCACAGTTTAAGGGCATCCATCAATTCTTCTTTGATCTTCCTTACTCCTTGTTCAGATTTTGCATACATACGAGACAATTGAAAACATCATGACTTGGGTCAAGTTCACCTCAGTCCTCAAAGTTGAGGAATAGAGGATGAGCTGAATAACATGTTTAAGGTCACCTTGTGACCAAGCCAACACAAGAACATAGGTCTTCTAAACACTAGTTTAGAACTAATATAAAAAAAAGGAAAAAGAACTCAGAATTTATTATTATTATTTTTTATGTAACACTATTTAATAGGCTGCACATAATCAGATCTTGCACTGAAGTTTTTATACATGGAAGAGAGGGTTGCATCGAATTGGACTCTGTTTTAAACAATTAATCAGATAGTTTCCCAAATAATTGTGTGGGAGACACGAAAATATGTTGTTTAATAACACAGTTCAGTGGGTCCCCACACTACCATTTACTTTTGCAATCTTGGGAAGTTTAAGCTTTAGTTACTTCAAGTGAAAAACAGAAAAAGGGAGGTCATATTTCCTGGATTGTTATCATGAGTAAATAAAATAATCTATGTGAAGTACCTGGCATTTAGAAAGTGTTCAAAAATACTTAGCAGCTATTATCAGAGGCTGGCTTTGGGAACACTGACGGTTATGTTTGAACTTACATTCAGAGGATAGATTCACTTACTTAAAATCTACTTATTGCCTTTTGATTCTTTGTGTTGATTCTTTTGTTACAAGAGTAACAAAATCCCTGTCTACGTGGAACTCAGAATATAACTAGTCTACAGATAGGGCTCTGTAGCCTATCTGTATTTGATATTTTAAAACTTGATTGCTGCCTTGTCCTCAATCACTGTTATAAGCTCTTTAAGATGCATATATCTGGAAATATATATGACAGTAATGATGGTGACGTCACTTCAGGTTGTATAAAATTTATCTTTTAAAAGTATAAAGCAGTTACGGCACGACTTACATTTTTCTACTGATATTTGACATCTCTCCTATTGAACTTATTACTAGGAGTTCCTTGGAACGTTTAAAATTAGTAGGTCATGGAAAAGACTTCTAGGAGAATGTCTTGATAATGAATATTTCTAGCCTATGCTGCTAACCACAAAGTCATTGACTCAAACCCACCTGCTCGATCATGGTTGAAAGATGAGATTGCTTGCTCCCCTGAAGATATTCCAGCTCAGAAGACCTACATAGAGTTGCTAAGAGCTGGAATTGACTTAATGGCAGAGGGTTTATGGCATTTGGCCTTGAATGGTCTACTTTGGACCCCTTCCATGATTCTTATGTCCTAGAACATCAGGGTAAGTTTCTAACTTTGGAATAATGACTGCTTTAGAAAGAATTTATTTTAAGTTGCATTTATTCAAAAACTGCTTTGGGGCATGTAACCAGGCAAAGAAAGGTCATTACTTTAGAAAGTACTTTGGTAATATAGGGCAGATGGTAGAAGTTAGAATCTATTTCTTTTGCTAATTCCAAATGCAAAACAGTCCATATATTGGATTGTTTTTGTTTGCAGGGAAGAAAAGTCTTGGAAAACTTTCTATATTCTTAATTAGGGAAAGAAAAAAGGGACTGAAATATCAAAATAGCAACAAGAACTCATATTGTGGCCAAGTACTATTGATATTTCCATCTTACTTCAATTGTAATTTAAACTACAATATGGCTCAAGTTAAAGAAAGCATACTCCCTACACATGATAGTGCATAGGAAACCAAACTGAACATATCAGTTCTCATTTCCACTCTGATGACTTGAATTGATACTTTATGGTGATGAGTAACCCAATGAACAAAATCTATGACTCACTCCCTCCCTCCCTTTCTCCCTCCCTTCCTCCCTCCCTCGCTCACTGACTCATAGAGAGTTTACAGGACAGAGTAGAACTGCCCCTGAGGGTTTCTGAGACTGTAAATCTGTGGGCGTAGAAAGCTTCATTTTTCTCCCAGAAAGCAGCTTCTGGATTTGCACTTCTGATCCTGTGGGTAGTAGTCCAACTCAGACCCCCCCGGGCTCCTGCAAGCAGTAGGGTTCTAATAAGAACTGAGGTCCGATTGGGAAATGATAGAGAGTTAGCAAATATCTGAGCAGAGTGCCACAACTGAACGTCAGGGAGCACGGAGCAAAACTATAATCACACTTCTGAGGTGTTTGTTTTTCACTTTGGAATAATCTTTGCTTTAGAAGTATAAAGCATGCCCACATAAAACATAATGCATGCAATGTTCTGTAAGTGAATGAGACGTGTAGGCACTGCTCTCCACCGTTCTGTGTAGAGAAACTTCCACTTCTCCCTTCTCCCATCACATAGACTACACAACACTTGATTGCTTGGCTTTTTGTAAGCCCCGACACTGTCAATTTATATAGTCATTATTAATTACTTTAGTTTTAACATCAGTCTTATTTTGAGTTGAAATACATGTAAGTTGAATCTCTAGTAGAGTCTTCTTTCGTCTTAAGGACTTTCTCTGTGTGTCATTCCGTGAGCTCCGTCACATCAGTCATGTTGTACTGTCATCAGCAATATCCAAGACAGGCAGTTTGCAGAGTTTTTATTTTTGCTGTTGTTATTGTTCCCTTTAAACCTCACTTTATTGTTCCCAGCATTTTAGTATATGATCACTAGTAGCCTAGACCTCATCAATTATATCTTATTGTATAGTA